GAGCAGTTGCTGCAAGGAGTGGACCCGGGCAAAGCTTTTGGCCGATTGGTGAAGGAGAGGCAGCGTGCTAAGTTGGCCTTTGAGAAGGAACGGGCTGCTGATCGTTTTGGGAAGCTGGCAAACACCACAGGCCGGAAAGTCACCCAGTACAAGAGTGGACAGCTTGTGATGCTCTGGCGGCAGAAGGTGAAGCCTGGAAAAGTGAAGGGCCACTGGAGTGGTCCAGTGCGAGTGATCCTGCTTGAAGGTTCTACTGCTTGGTTGAGCTCAGGTTCGACGTTGGTGAGAGCCAAACTCAATCAGATCCGTCCTGTTTCTCGACGTGAAGAACTTGGGGCAGTGATGGAAGGAGCGGCGGTGTACCGCCAGCCTATGTCGGTGGACACGCTTCTTCGTTCTTTTCAAGGACGCTACACACGCTTCTTCGTTCTTTTCAAGGACGCTACTACCTTGATGCCTCAGGTGATGTCCCTTCAGAGGAGAAGCAGATGCATGACCTGACTCCGACGGATGTCTTGCAGGAGCCGGCTGCTGAGCGAATGAGGTCAGACACATGGTCTCTTCGACATGAAGGAGGTGAACGGTTGTTGATTCGACATCATCATCTTCCGCGGCTCGGACTCTTTAATCCGGCAAGGTCGATGCATTGCCCAGTGAGCCTCGATGAACTCTCTGGCAAGAGGACTACCTATGTTCGCCCTCTACACCGGTGATGCTGGTGAACCCATTGTGATCAGGGACGCTGTGGACATTGTCAAGAACCTGCCTGACAGGTGGACTGGTGAAACCCACTTTGAGTTGCTTCCTGATCCTCAGCCAGCTAAGAAGGTGAAGACGCCTGCCCGGCGTGGAGAGAAGAGGAAAGCGGACAAGGAGATTGACAAGAAGAGCTTCCACAGATCCTCAACCTGGCCTACAACAACCCTCACAGGGATTGCAAGCAGCACTTCAGGAGCGAGGACCTGATGCGGTGGATGATCTACCTCTTCGAGGAGAATCAGGTGCAAATCGATGTGCTGTACCTGGTTGCGACCTACCTGGAGGACATGATGGGCACCATCAAGACCGTGAGGGGCAGACTTTCATGTATGACCTCTATGATGGCCGACGAGCTCCAACGCAGGGTGAAGAGCAAGCTTCATCGTCGAGTTCTTCTACCTCTTCAACCCCGTCTGATGAAGAATCTGATGGTTCCGAGGAACTCCAACCTGATGGAGAGCATGGTGGATCGCAGCATGATGAGGCAGCAAGCGAGGAGAAGGAGACCTTCATCGCGATCACCTTAGACATTGATGAGAATGACTTCGACTGGTTGGCAAAGAACAAGAACAGGCGGCGAGGAGCCATTTGGTTGAGCAAGAAAATGGCTGAGAAGGGCAAGGAGATCGACTGGAAGCGCCTGCCTCTATGTGAGAAGAAGGAGTTTGATCTGGCGATGGCAAAGGAGCTCTCGCAAGTCTCCATCTCGAGAGCCTTGCGCAACCTGGCGGAGGAGGAACATGCCCGCCTAGATCCGGCTCAGTTGATGCAGATGCGCTGGGTGCTCACCCGCAAGGGTGATGGGTCGGCTAAGGCCCGCTTGGTGGTATTGGGCTTCCAAGCCCACACTCTCACGGAGGTTGAGACTGCGAGCCCAACGATGTCGAAGGTGGGGAGGAACCTGCTGCTGACGGTCGCGGCATCGGTGAAGATGACCGTCAAGGCAGGTGACGTCACATCTGCTTTATTATTGCAGACCAACACGAGCTTGGAGCAGGAGGAGTTGAATGTCTTGGCGACGCCAGAGCTTTCTGCTCTTTTTGGAGCACCTCCCGGCGACCTTCGAGCTCTTCGAGTGCAGCAGGCATTTTATGGTCTCGCCCATGCTCCGAGGAAATGGTATGAGCGGTGTGTTGAAGTCTTGGTTGCTTCTGGATGGATTCAGCTCCGTGGCGACAAATGCCTTTTTTCCCTGTTTGAGACCGACAGCAAATAAGGTCCTGGTGGGACTTGCTGGATTGCACGTCGATGACTTCCTGTTGGCAGGTCACCCCGAGTCGGCCTACTACATGAGCAGAGAGAAGATCCTGAACGAGGCCTTCCGATGGGGAAAGTGGGAGACTGAGCAATTTGATTTCGCAGGTTGTTTGATCAAGCAGGGCAAGGACTTCAGCATTGTTCTGAACCAAGAAGCCTATTCCTTGAAATGGCTGGAGGAGATCGAGATCGACAAGTCCAAGGCGAGGCAAACGCCACTGACTGGCCAAGAGGTTTCTCAACTTCGTGGAGCACTTGGTACCATGAGTTGGAGGAGATTTCCCTTTTGTTGAGTGAAATCAGCCGTGGCACGATTGAGACTCTCTATAAGACCAATAAGCTGGTTCGCGAGATGAGGAGAGACGCTGGACAAGGTCTTTTGTTTCCATCTTCATGGCAGGTGGAGAAGATCCAGGACTTGGCCGTGATCACTTGGGCCGATGCCAGCCAACACAACAGACCTGACAGGTCAAGCACCTTGGGCATCCTCTCGGGCGTAGCGCCCAAAGAGATCCTGCAGGGGATCGAGACGCAGGTGGCTCTGGTTCAATGGAAGAGTGGCAAAACGCCAAGACAGTGCCTTGGATCGAATGGCGCTGAGGTCCAGGCGATTACGCTTGGAGAAGACCAGAACCATGCGGTTCGGATGCTCTTGGCAGAGCTTGGTGGAGTCGAGCTTCGACGAGGAGACCTTCACCTGGCGGTGCAGGAGGTGGCTGGTGCCTTGGTTATGGATTCCAAGGGGATCTTTGACGCGATGACCAGGAACATGAGTTCTCTCCATGGCTTGCGAGATAGCAGGGCAGGATACGAGCTGACGCTCGCTGTGTTTCAGGCTGTGAAAGCCAAAACCCAACTCCGATGGGTGAATGGAAACGCCCAATTGGGCGATGCGCTGACGAAGTTTGGAGCGCGGAAGATCTTGCTTCATTTCTTCGCTCAGCGACAGCATTGGCGGCTCATCCACGATCCGAAGTTCGAGGCTGGCAAGAAGGTCCACAAGCGGATCCTCGAGCAGAAGATCAAGGAGATGGAAGGGCAAGAAGCTGCCTTTGTGTGCCAGTTGAAGAAGTTGGCGAGCAAGCGCAACTGGCCCTGGGACGCAGAAGATGAGGTTGTAAAATATCCTCCACTTCAATGAGCCAAAGGTTCAGGAAGTGTGGGGGATGTGCGCATGAGGTCGCATGTCATGAACCTTTGACACGTCACCCCCGTAGGGTGGGGCTCGAGCGGAAACAGGTGTTCGGGCGCGTGCGCGCGGTGGACCACGGCGGTCCTTCGTTTTGGCCATCGGTTGGCCTATCGCCTTTCATTAAGGAAGCAATAGCAACATAATCCATTTCATTGGTTGAGATTAGTGAGGAGGGTGACGACGAACCGATACAAATGAACCAGTTTAAAGATATGAATAATACCATCCAAATACATACACCGAGTTTAAATTTAGTTTTTTGTTGTTCCTGTCCTCCATCATTAGTTATTACTCTTAAATCTTTGCAATCTCTTCATGAACACTAAAATGATGATGTGCCAAGTTGTCATGCAAGCTTACTTAGGGTGCTGAGGAGGAAAATCATTTGAACAACAACATGGAAAGCATCTCCAACTTTCACAAGAGCTAGGCAGCTAGGACTGTGCAATCCACATTGCCAACGATGCAGAATCAATCCTGGCTCTGACTTGAGCTAGTCTGAGAGGGGAGACCCCAACCATATTTTCAGACCATTTTTTTTGTTTCAAAGATCCTGAACCCCGTCAGCACAAACAAATGATCGAATTAGTTGTATCCTGCTTCAACACGGCAGGGCAGTTTACCATCATTTGGTATTTTTTTCCAACATTCTGGGCCTTGGGTTATCCATGAGCTTTGCGCCATTCCATTCATGCTGCTAGTGGCGACCAACGGACAGGAACTGCGAAGCCTCACTGTGGAGTCAATCTGGAATGAAGCGCAAAGGTATTGCCTCAAGACAATGGACAGCCGAATGAGCATTCAGGTGCTGGTGGCAATGGCCTTGACCAGGAGCTGTGCAGCCTCACTGTGGAGTCAACCAGAATCAAAAACAAAAGGTATGCCTCAACGACAGCTGGACAGCTGGATGAACATAGGCAGCGGCACTTCGGTCCACTGCTGAGGCGGAAGGCACTGCGAGACAACAAAACATTGCCGCATGGGCACGAGGTTGTTTGCAAGGCTAGAGCTACATAGAGTTACCGGAGTCGACCCGGAAACCTACAGGGCACTTCTTCGTGCTGGCTTTTCTACTTGTCAAGCCTTGAGGTAGCTCACTTGACCGAGTTTGTGAAGGAAGAATCCCTTTCAGTCAGGAAGATGCAGATTTTCCGACAGAGCGGCATCCAAGAAACTTTAGATTGATGAGTTTCTTGCAGACCTTGTCAATTCTTGATTACATTTTTGATTCGATAGATTGATACATTATCCTCCAATATGTATTTTCCCTTATCCAATAACCAGGGGGTTCGATCTCTGAAACCCCGACTCAGACTGCAGATCTGAGGGCTAACGCAGCTGCCTCGGACCTAACCGGGGCTGGTGCTGAGGATCTAGACTGCACACTCACCCCACGAAGGAAGTCTTCTTTCATTGCACCCCAGGCTCCACTTGCAGTTTTAGGACAGGCCCAAATGCAAAACTCAGATCATGTTCCAGGGCCAGCCTTCAGCTAGATCTATACGTGATAGGATGCTAAACATCACATCACTTTCTACCACGAAAGGTCTAAAGTTTAACCAAAGGGAAGGTCACGCCACTACACGAGTGTCGCTGGATATCGGTGGCCTCATCAATCATGTTGAATTGGTTACAGCATATGGTGACCCTCATATTTTACAGAATCTTCCCAGTCTGAGCAGCCTCTAAGACGTAGCAAAAAGTCTCTGTTGAACTTGTTCAGGTCACCTCATGTTGAGACTCGATCACGATTTTGAGCCCCGAACTCGAAAGCAAAGCGGACTTTGGCCAGGCCCAAGCAAGAATCCTGCTTTGCTGCAGGCAGTCCGCCTGGAACGATGGTCATCCGGTCGGTCTGCCTGAAACGATGTGCCGGTCCTCCCGGACCGAGCCGCACTCTCCGCTTCTGACGAAGCCGAGAGTGCACAGCAAGCGGCACCGAGAGTCCACACGCTTGGGGACGATTGTGGAAGATCTTTCAGTAACAAGGACGCTATGCTCCGTGGAGGCCATCGCAAGTAGGTTGAAGGCCATCGCTACTAGTAACAAGAAGCTAGATGTGACATATTTTTTGGGGTCCTCTGAAGAGCCCACAAAGCTCCGAAGACGCCATGCCAGACGTAGGACATGTAGGATGACATGTCGGACCGTCGGACATCTTTTTTTCCTTTCATGTTTGATCCATTTTTGATCCTGTGCCGTTCTTCCTTTCTGACATTCTAGTTGTACTGTACTTCGTTGTTGCCATGCGCCATACTTGCGTTCATGTACCTTCCCTGCAAGAAGCATGGTAACTAGTGGAACATCCTCCCCTTCCTGCTAAACCAGGTTCCCCAACACTGAGACTACGCCCCATCAATTTTGATAGAGTTTATTTTCTGAGGATCTTCACATTGACGACCAACTGGATCTGCTCCACTTGCAGCACTTTCATCATCCTTACACTCAAGTCTTGTAGGTTGCAGCATCCCCGGACTTTCCAGTCTAGCGGTTGCTTGCATCCCTCGGCGGTTTCTAGCACCGACCCCGCCGGGAGGCGGAAATCCAGCCGGGTCCGACCCCGCCGGGCGCAGCCTGGCAGGTGAAGCGGCATCCTCTGGAAACCGTGCAGCCAGAGGTGATTCCGCCACTGCAGCAGGCGGTGCAACTCGCGCGCGCAACGCGCGCGTGGAATCAGGTACGGCAGACTGATGGTTGTGGAAAACAGAAAGGGACCGTGCGGATGTCCCATGGTGGTGGACCTAGTCCCAAGACTCATAGTCATGCTTGCCTGCCGCCGGGGTTGGAAAGGATGAGTAATTAGCTCGCCGAACGAAGAGAATAGCCCTCAGGGCAGCGACATGTCATACAGCGACATGTCATGAAAAACAGGGCTGGAAAAAAGAGGCCCACTTTTTGGTGAAGTCTTTTTGAACTACGAGACTCGCTGTGTTCGATGTTGTTCATGGCGACCAACGGACGATCCTTCTGATTTTCTCTTCAGTAATTAGTACCATTGTGCAGCTCTCTTTCTTAAACTCCATCTTGATCACCAAGCAGGTCGATTGATTTGCATGCGTGCACATCTAGTGGGAAGGTCTTCCAACCAGTGATCTCCGCAGTTGATCGGAGCAATCCAAGTCTGTCAAACGTCTGCAGGTCCACAAGGGACCGCTCTTCGAGCAATGCCGAACCCGGGCGTGTCACGGCGAACGATGGAGGAAGAAACGACCGGGGGCGACCCCAACACCCGAAGGAAGAAACGAGCGATGCCATGGACTTCCTATGGCGAGTCCGATGCAACAAGATGATCGTCTTGTGATGTGTGCGAGTATTTTTCATTGGGATACCCAACTACCCAGTTCTTGAGTTCTGGAGTTGCAGAGCTGCGCAGTTCATGAAGAATGGTGAGCTGCACGGATGGCACAATCATTCAACGCCTCCTCGAACTACCTTAACCGGTTGACTATTGTAGGCCTTTACATCCACCTACAGTATTTGGAACCTGAAGTTCATGTTGTTCTATGTCCCGCTCGAACTGGAAGATTGATCTGGAAGCTCAATATTCCCCCAAAGGAAGCTCTTGATGTTTCATGCTGATGTAATTGGAATGAACCAGCCAGATCTAGCATTTATCTTCTTTTCAATTGCTTTTCAATGTTGGCTTACACTTGATTTGAAGGACACCAGGGAAAGTTGATGCACATGGATTTGCGCTGAATCATCCTCACCCTGGCAGTGATCTGCGATCGCGGCTGATCGGTTGTGTTGTTGGGTTCTTGTGAATCTGAACATTCTCATGAGTACTGGGGACTTGAGTTTGGTTCATATGTTCCTCATCCAATGCAACACTAGAAACAATCTCACCGGCGTTCCGCACTCCACTGCCCCTTGATGCTCCGTGTTTCGGAGGGGGTTTGGAAATTCGACTCAGCAGCTTTTGAGGATCGGAAGAGTTGATTCTCATGGATTCCAGGGCTGTATCAGATCATTTTCCCACTCTTAGACGTCGTTCTCACCGCCTTCGACGCCCCAGGTCCTCCTCGCCTCACCTCACACGCCGAGGGTTTGAGGCGCAGAATGCCACCGTGAGCCACCTGGATGAAAGCACTCGCTCAAACAATTGCCTTCGACCGGAGGGGGTCCTCATTTTCCAAGTCCTGACAAAGGCTTGACAAGTTCTTCAGTTTGGGACAATCCATTGAACAGTAACTTAGCTACTTTGATGCCTTCAAGGGGGAATTCCTGTTTTACCCTTAGTCGAGTGGTACATGGTGCTATCATGCAGCTGTTGAATCTCGGGTCTGATCAGTCTTCAACCCACCATCCAGGCAACCAGGAGGTGTTTCATCTGAAGATTCTCATCCTCTACATGGCCATATGACTGGCTGAAAGATAGGGCACCAACCCTTGCGGCCAGCGGATCGTTTTCCCAAAAAGCTGCAGGTGTTGGGGGGCTCTTCCTGGTTTTGTTGGTCAAAATACAGGTGGTCTTCTTGCCGTCTGCGTTGTTGCCTCCGCCCCAGCTGGGAGCTGAAGTTGTCAGCCGAGGTTTGCTCTCCTCGGGCCGAAGCTGCAGTGCGGACCCCGTGACTTTGGTCGCTTTCTCCAGCAACGGGCAGGCGCAGCGAGAGAATGGCTAAGCTTCACTTGTCACTGGTGCGACCAGAAGGAGTCTGGTGACTGTGGGGGGGGGGGGGTTTGAATTCGATGGTCCTTGTCGTCGTGTTCTATGAAGCAACTGTGAAGATGAGGCATGGTCCCCAAACGTTGTTGATCACAGCAAAGCGAGAACAAAAAGCATTCCAATATATTCCAATCATTTCATGGCGACGACCACAGATTGTCGGAATTGGACATTCAGCCGTTAAAGCCAGTTTCGCCGATGAAACGGCTGAAACGGCAGATGAAAAAAAACTGACTTGCCTAGATCCAGAGCGCAGTGGTCTTGTACAGTGGGATTCACTTCGATCTATACCTGCATCTTCCCAAGTATGCAAAAGTTAATAAACACATGTTGGCAATGGCAATAGCACATTTTTACGGTGTTATACTAATTTGGAGTATTGTTCCTGAACTAGTCACAAAACATGTTCAAGGGCCTTCACCCTTGCGAAGCGACAGCGTGCCAGGATGTGCCAGCGGTAGTTTCATTGGTTGGTGAGACGCCTACAGACATGCGCACGAAGTTGCACCTCTAGAAGTTGCGAGATGGTCAAGCTTACGTGCCATACGGAACTTCGAAAAGATAGTAGACCCAGTGGAATGTTGCTCCCTTGGAGGCCACTATCTCGTGCTGCGATGCAGTGAGCCCTGGTATTGCACAGCTGGTTTTGGGGGGTGTTGGTGAAGGTGCCCCTCCCAACATGCTAATCTGAAGCAAAAACTGCAAAGGGGGTCCAATCTGAAATTAAGTTAGCTGAGATACAAGCTGGAAAATCCATTCAGAGGTCCTTAGTTTTACACGCCTAGTGATTTTGAGTGCAAAACAGTTGCCAACTTGAATTTGTGTGGCCTGTTCTTTTTTTTTGGGCTCTCCGTGAAGTTCAGCTCAGAGTGTCGTGGATATGTTCTTCCTTGAACAGGGTCGCCGTCCATGCCAGATCATATGAACGATTCATGCAGCTCTGCCAGCTCCACACGCCTTTCACTTGGCCGATGCATGGAAGGAGGTCCAGGTAAGAACTCCCGCCTCTTCCAGCCCCCAGAAGCCTTGAGCCTGTTCTTTTTCCTGGTTCACTTGAGTTCCCTTGAACTTGGACCTGTTACTGTGAAGCGTCGTGGTGCTCACCGCAAACTTCACCAAGAACTGCTCCTCGTCCCAGGAACATGTACTGCTCTGGCTGTACCAGCTTATCCGCCTCTTCCTGCGCCGCCTGTGCCGGCGGCTTCCACAAGTCGGGCTCCCGCTGCGCCGCCTGCCGCGACGTGCCGGGCTGGCGCGACGCCGGCGGGCGCAGGTGCAAGGAGTATGTGCAGAATGGTGTGTGCCACTTGGGCATCAGGGTATATGAGGGTATGTTGGGGTGAACACAGACGCAATCAATCCATGGAATGAGAGATAAGGACGATTTACTAGAGATAAGGAACATTTACTAGTATTGTTCTTGTTCTTATGGCAGGTTGCACCCGGGCTATGGCTAAGTGTTTACAAGAGAGCCAATGCAGTACTCGGTAGTAAGGAGCTAATGTGCGATTTGTGACCAGGCACCGTTTCCAACTTCTGTCAAAAGGTCTCTTCCCCTATCATCAGTCATGGTTTCATGGATACATAGTCAATTCTCTTGGCAGTCTCGGCAAACAATGCAGATCTTCCCCATCTCAGCTGACTCCCGAATTTCTCCGTGGAATCCAGCCTTGTCTTTTGAACCTCACCTCATTGCACCCACTTATATAAATGACTTCTTACCTGACCTAATTTGTTGCTATCCAAGTCTTGTGTCGAGTTGGACGCCACAGACCCCAAAGAGATATTCTGATGTTCTCTCAGAACATCTTCACCCTTCATCGACCTCATCTGTTGCACTGAGAGTCACCATTCAAAAAGACCTACACCGACACCTGCAATCCATTTCAACTAATGAGCCTCTGCCTTACCTCTCCAGTGTGGCTTCCACACTGAGGCCTGAATGGAGCGATCCATGAGAACAAGTTTCAGAGCCTTTTTGTATCGCACATGACCTTGAAGGACAACTCGACCGTCCGGCGACTCGACCGTCTGGAGATGTCGGAGGCTGTTGTTCAGGTTGGGAAGCGGAAGTTGCGGACGCGGACGCTGTGACATGCTGAGCTGGTCCTTTCCGTGCGGTTGAGATGACCAGGCCTTTTTGGCCTTAGCTGCAAAACCAAAGAATCACCATCCACCCAGACACTTTCGACAAACCCACAAGCCCATGGACACTTGGGAACATTGGGATACATTGGGCATGACAGGCTTCACACGCACTCCGCTCCTCCTGGGACAAACGATCGACCACGACTGAACACAACTTGGCTCGTACTGTAACCCCCACCCAACATTCCAGTCTTCTTCCCTCCCCAAGACATGGCCAAAGTGCCTAGCCTCCGAAACTGACATTTACAAACAGCTTTGGAGGAGTTTCCCTCCATCAGATGGTTACTGTCTTACTGGGAGTGGTGATCCTTCGTCTCAGCAGTTCACAGTGCAGCCCAGGGGCCAGCGCGGCCACGTGCCAGGAGTATCGTGCGAAAGGCCTTTCAGCCTTCGACGCCTGCTGTGCCTGTGGCGGTGGCCGCTGGGCGGGACCCGTGTCGCGCCGCGGGACGAGACGACGAGACCCTCTTGCCGTCTTTGCGTAGAACGAACGGAGTTTTCTAGGGATGGGTGGAAGAGAACTGCGCTGAATGTTTGGTGCCCATCTCGAAAACAAGCGTTTGGAACAGAAGAAGCTGCCAGAATGTTGGCATCCAAAGAGTGCAGAAAGTCGGATTTCCGGTGCTTGTCTTGCAACCCACGGAGGCGTGTCACAACCGGTCAGGAAGAGATTGTTCAGAGCCTGGTCTAAAATGAAGACCTTGAAAAAGAAAACTGAACATGGGGTTCTAACCCTCAAAACTGGCAACGAATTTGTTAAACCGAAGGAATCGACCTCTATTTCTTTGTCCAAACACATGCACACTATTGGCTCGTTAAACATCATCCAGCTTGAGAGGGACGAGTCATCCAGCTTGAGAGGCCAGCGCAGTCACATGCGCATCTGAATAATAGGGGCCTCCTGCCAGGAAACCCCATGAACGGACAGACCATGAGGCACTCCATTTTGAGAGAAGAACGATACACATGTTTGCTTTTTTTTTTCCAGTTTGTGATTCTGCATTGTTTACGGTTTCTTTTTTATTTTCTTATTTTCATTTTGTCTCGTGTCTTTGCGATACTCAATACCACGAACCTGGACCCCATGCTCCAACTGATCCCCTCCACCCTCGACGGTGGACCGTCATGGACATCATCCACCCTCAACAGGTTGACTGGTGAACAGTCCCAAGATGATCTGCAGCAGGATATCAAACCTTGTTTTTCTTCTTCTCCTTCTCCTTCTTCGATCTTCTTCGTATATAATCTTTGGTTTGCTGGTCCTCCTTCAGAAAGGCCTGAGGATGCTTGAAACCTGCGTGGCTGCTCCGAGGCATGCGTGCGAGCACGCCCTTCCGCTACGGCGCCGCGGGCAAGGCCTTCGTTTTGGGGGAGCCCATGCTGGACCGGCCACATCCGCGGACGGCGCAGAGCTACCGCAGGGGAACTCAGTATGGGTTAGCGATGGATCGGAAAACACCCGAAAATGAGCACCGCATGGATGCCCCCCCAGATTCTTGCCATGCTGTAGTGGAGTCTGCAAATGTCAGGGCGATTGGATTGCGTCGACATGTGGCGCATCACAGACGTGACATGACAAAGACTCATGATAGATCATGATCGTCCAGAATCGCGCCGGCGATTCCACATACGAGTGAAAAGGCCCTTCCTCAGCTTGAAAGGCCTCTCTTTTGGGGGGCCAAGCTGCAGCTTCACTGCTTTCTTCGCCCGTTTAAAGGTGTTCATGGGCTGCTGGATGGCGCTACCTGCGACCTGCACAGCTATGGTTTGTCACTGGACCCGGTCACTGGCCAGGTTTCAGGCGCGGGGTCTGGGGAGATGGGAACATGAGTGGTGTAGGGGGAGGGCTGGTGCATGTAGGGAGCTCGGAAGTTCAGGGGGAAGAAGGCCAATGTGCCTGGATGTTCTATGGATTTGAAAGAAAGAGGGGATGGGCTTTCAATGCATCATTCTCTTCTTCTTGATGTCCTGGTGCCAGTGGCGTTTGGTAGGTCCCTGAAGTTTGAGATAGACTCACCTGTACATCAACCTCGAAGTTCAGGACCTTGCGGATACACGGTACGCAGAGACACAGGGATTCGGGATTCGTGCATCAAGACTTATACATGTGACAGATTGAACATTTGGGTACGACCACGAACATAAAAGGAGACATAGAGGAGCTCACACGTAGCTTTGGATTTCCTTCTACTTGGAGACAACACTCACCACCTCCGCCGTCCGAGTGGCTTCATTTCTTCTCCCGTCCGCCTGCCCGATGGGGCGATAGCCGGAAGCTGCTAGGCACTCCGAAGGCTGAAGAGCCGACGAGCATCGAATGCACTATCGAGGCAGTGGAAGAGCTTCGACTTGGTTTTTGGCTTTTTTCTACCTTCTTTATTCTTGCTGTGGTGGGACGAAGTGTTCGTTCGGTATTGGCTGTCCTGAGGGCTTAAAAGGGGAGGAAGGCGACCTGGACATAGCTGCGGGCTTCGTGTGGGTCATCCTGGTGGGGGCCATTGGGAGTAGTGTGTGAGAGGTTGGAACCCCAAAGCTTGTTATGTGTCTGAAGCTGGGGAAGAAGAGGCGCGTTGATCTGCGCATGGTTGACGCATGTTGACGCCATTTTTCTGAACTGTTCGTCTTTGTGGGTTTATCATGGGGAGGATGATGGACTCGGGAAGTAGAATTTTCAAAGGCAATGCCACTGACCATCGTGGGCCCAACCGAGGACGAGGCTGCTGGCTTGGTCTCCAATACTACGCTGACCATCAACCTCCAGCAGCTGGGGCTGGAGGGAGAGGATGCCGGAGAAGGGCGGACAGATGTGTTTTGGGTTGGCGTCGCAAGATGCGGGGTTTTTTATTTTCAATAAAGCAGCCACTTACAGCCACTCGAGTGAACGCAAGTGACAGCAAGTAAGTAACAGTAAGACAGTATATCTACAGAACTAAAGTGAACAAAACGAGTTTGAATGACAAGGGTGGCGCTTCAAGATATTTCACGTTACTCGTGCAATAAGTCTCACGAGGAAGCACCTCATCCCACGAACAACGGTCGCCGGACTAGTTGGCCAAGAGTTGAACAAACTTCTGCAAAGTTCTAGAGCGCGCACTGCAATCAAGTGACGCCAGCCCATGCCCCACAGATTGCAACCCAACCAACTGACCACTGCAGACAAACACACCAGCCTAAGAGCCAACACACAACGGAAAATCTCCAGCGTTTTCCATACGGACAAGCGGAGAAAAGAGAAGCATACATGTTCCATCACCCTTTTAAAAACCATATCATAGACCCTGCTCGAAACACATGGCGGTCAATTCTTGCACTCGAGTGACCCCACTCTGTGAGGTTTTAGCTTGCTGCTTCAAACTTCCCAAAGTCCACAAACAGCCCGTTTGCGGCGCAACATGACCGATGATGCAAGGGTGAAGCAGCACATTGGATATTCACATTACGTTGTCCAGGAACCCGACTCTAGAGTCCAGAGGTTCAAGTCCTCTCGGTGCGCCTCCCAGTGCGAGAAGCCTCTTGATGACCTGAAAGGGAGACTAGGTACCGATCACCGAACGCATCTCAGCTCCCGTTAGCTGACCGTCAGAACCCCCGTGCGACTTCCAGGTACTTCGCCTATGATGCTGAGATCTTGTCCTTCCCAAACTCGGCGGGGTATCTGCCTCGGACGAAGGCGCAGACCAGCTACAGCAACTGGAGGGTGGCCTGCACTCCACACACAGCCTGGTTGACCATTGATGGAGCCTTGGCTGTGTGCTGTGCTAGACTTGTGTCGTGGGAAAGATATCTAGATTGTGTTTGAGTTGGTCTGGTCGTTCGTGGGAACTTGTAGAACCATTGCTGCTAAAGTCTATTTAGCAGGAAGAGTAATTAGGATAATTAGGGTGTGGCTGCGAATCAGGCACTCAAGCAATGGGCGTTTATTTATGGCCTCGTCATTTCTCTTTGGTGAAATCTTTTAATGTCCTGAGTCTGAACAGTGTCATCAAATCATACCAGATCTATGTTTTTCTTTTTGCGCCCATGTTCCCCGCATGCGGCAGGGAGCGTGCCAGCCTATGCTATTTTCATTGTTGTGTAGAATCTCTATCTTCAATAGAGGTCCCCGTAATCTCCGCTAACTCGGGTGTCCAAAAGCGGTTCACAGAAATCCCGACACTTCGAGCTTCCAGGGCCTTAGGCGCCGAAGTTCCAAAGGGCTCCCAGGTGTACACATGGGCCTAAGCCTTGGGCCCAGCCTCCCTCGCGCCCCAAAAACGCCTCACCTCATGCAGCAAGCGCCAGCGCCAGCGCCGGCCCTGGGGCCGGCGCTTCGGCCCGAGGATCCACGGGGCGCCTCAGTTCCGGGAGCACCTCGCCCGGGACGCCGCCCGCGGCGTATTGCACGGTGACCGCCTTCAATGGCACGGCGGATCAGGCCTTGTCCCTGCCTGTGGTCTATCCGAAGCGTGGCCTTCGGGAAAGACACGGTTGGTGAGCAAGTTCATGTGTTTTTTGTTTTTTTGGGGTGTTTTTGGAGTGTGCTGGTGAGAATTTATGAGTTTTTTGGGCGTTGTGGGATGTGATTCTTTTTCCTGCACACAACATTTGAGTTTTGAGCATCATGTTGCCCTTGCCTTTTGGTGTTAAAAGACGAGTTTTGAATGTTTAGGTATAGATCAATTTCTACGACCTTCAGGATTGTCTGGGTGTCAGATGGGATTAAGCTCACACATACGCGACCCCAGCAACTTTTCAATTTTTTGAGTTGGGCAGTGGCCTAGAGACGTAACTCCTCTACAAACTACCGGCTTTACACCAGACCATGTTTGCGTCTTTGAATGTATCATTTGGACTTGTTGTGGGATTTCGCAGCCTTGTCCCCCAATAAAGGCAAAGAGTTTGCCTTTGGTACGAATATCAACTTGCAGAGTTCTGTACCATGTGCGTTCTTGCCTCGTTTTCATCCCACCTCTCATCGATGCTCTCAGGAACCATTGGTCCTCCATGGAGACGTGGCAACTGATTAAGGGATTTGAGAGGCTAAGTCAGTCGACTCAGGGTAGACCACTTTCAGAAATTTCAAACATCTATGGATATTCTCAAAACCCTTGGTTCAAGTCCGCAAAAAAGCGACACCTGCAGATCAACCAACTGGACTTGGGATCTGAGATATTTTGGTCAGCTTGGAAGGGGGGTGTCAAAGGTCAAAGGCCACCCGGTTGGGCCTGTGAGTGACGGGTGGTTGAGCTGGCGAAGTCCTTTGGTGGGGACTACCTGGACTGCTTTGCCTGTGAGGTGGACAGGGCCGAGAAAACGGTGTCCTTTACAGCCCCTTCAAAGCTTCAAAGGATAGGGGTATGCCACGTCACCGGTTCACGGATTTTGTTTGAAGCTGAGTCCCTGACTTTTCACAAGCACGTAGGCCAGAATTTCCACAACTTACCGTGTATAAAATCAATAAAAGGCACATCTTGATGATGATACCTGGGTGTTCTACATCTCCTCTAGATTGATTTGTTGGAGCAGCAAGGTACTATGAACATGTTCCTTGAGGTCTTTGGCCATTGACTTTTCCTCATGTTTTCACTGTTCCCTTGGAGTACAGCCAGTGGGCACAGACAAAAGCACATGAACATACTTGAATTTGCCTCATCAACCATATTAAACCATATATGCTTGGCCCGGTACTCGAATTCTCCAGGGTAGTTGCCACGTAGATACCCAGTCACGTCCCGGCACCGGAGCTCCTGTCATCCAACTCGAGGAGCTTCGCCAAAGCGTCGGTAGCGAGAAGGTCTCCGTGGGGCCCGTGTTGGATCTCATCGCAGGCGGAGAGAAGCGGAGAAAGCGTGGGGCCCGTGTTGAGCATCAACCAACCTGCTCGTTAGAAACTGTAGTACTTTTATGGATCACGTCTTCCTATCAACCAGAATAACTACTGTACAAGCGCTGAGCACTCATTTTGCTCTCACCACTTTTCCTCGCCACGGCATGTAACTGACTTCTTTCGCCAAAGTGCTTGCGCAAAGAGCTTTCCCCGGGGCCCATAGTGTCTTTACTTTCTTTGGGGATGTAGACCATTGGACTTCAGAGGAAAACCTACTTATATTTGGTGTGGAGCTCCACAGAACAGTCACTCCCTGCCTTAAATCTAGACCAAAAGGATTCTCCCTGGGGGGGGGATCAGAGCATCATTCTTCATGCTCCACCATTTCAAGAACAAGTCCATGGAACCCTTTTCCCCAGCTCCATTGAAACCTGCCTGATCGTCCGAGGCCGTGCGGTGCCGCCCGTGTCGTTCAGCTCCGCGGACGCCAGCGAGTCGCCCCCCGTGGCCTTCTACGCGGCGTGCACGTCGAGCGCGACGACGGACGTGGTCTTCGACGTGACCACGGGAGATCTGCTGGTGCGCGGACATGTGCCCTAGCGGCTAGCGATGTGAGGACCTGCATGGATGGACTGCAGGGACAGGCATGGCAGGGACGGACCATGGCATGGACCATGGAAGGTGTGGGATGAATTAAAAGGGTGGACGTGGGAAGAGAAGCTGCGAAGTTCTTTTCTTTGTTTCTGTGTGTGTGGGGGCGAGCGGCTGGAACCACTGGAATTTCTCTGGGTTTGACCTGCTGGAACCACGTGGGGCGAGAGCGGGAGGCAGGGGTTTCCACCAAAAGCCTCCGGATCAAAGGCCCATGGTCCACTTGCGGAGGGTCCACTTTGTGATCGCTTTAGTCTGCAGTGTGTTCCTGCGATGTTTTGCAGTTTGAATGCCTGGTATATGTAAATGTAGCCTACGTGTCATCCTCAAAACCATCACCTCTACTGGCTGAAAAGGGATGAACTCCATCGCATGGGGGAACGGGTGAACTTACTGTTTTAAATTTAATATGGTCGGATTTTGATGTTGATAAAGAACTCTGGGGCTTTGATCCTTTTGACCAACCAGGGGTTTTGAGCCATTGACCTCGGCACCCTGTGCGGTGGATTCCGCTGCTGAGCGCTCAGCCCTGGTGACCTTCAACAAATGGCAGCAGGGGTAAGGCCATCCTATCCTGCAATAGGAAGACATGCCAAAAAACTATTCACGAAAGGTAGCCCTTAAGGGGATACCTTGAGTTTGTCTTGCGAAGCAAGTGTTGGGACGTCCGGGTCTAATAATTGATCGCTCAATTCAGACCCCCCCCCACCC